GGGGGGGGGGGGGGGAAGCATGGGAATCGGGGATGCATCGCTGACGAATCGGCGATGGGTCTCAGACCCACACATCGCCGACAGGTCGCCGATATAGCGAACGACAGGGTGACAGCCGACCTGAAAATCGGCGACGCGCCGCCGACAGACAGCGAAGCCGCACGCTCCTGGGCGGGGCGTGCTCTCATGCCTCGTGCCCCTACCGACAATCACTGCGCGGTCGGCGGTCGATGCACCTCCCCCCCGAACCGATCCCCCGCTTTCAACTGTTGGCCCTGATGATAAGGCAACACAATAGCACAAGGGCGTGTGAACTTCGGGTGAAGTCGAAGTCTGAGAACTGTCCTGGACGGTGCAGGGGTCTGGAAAGCTGGCCCTCAGCACTCTGGAAGATCAGGGCCCGTCCTCGCCAGGCCCCTCCCCAAACCTTTCAAGACTCGAACGTATTTGGGGACCCAAAACCGTGTGGTAACGAACCGCGTGGTGACTTCGGAATCCTCAACGCCCTCACCGCGCGGCCCGTCAACCTCGGAAGCCCCAATCGCCCGAAACGTCCTTTGAGAACGGCCCCGGTGCCGAAACCGTGCGGTAACCCCCCACAAGTCACCACACATGTGGGCACCCCGAATTTTCAACACCTGCAAGACACCCTCGGGCCCTGGAACAATCAAAAAGCATTTCGGGACCGACGAGGACAGGCCCATGACAAGTGTCGAAGCAAGTTTCGTAACAAGCTTCCACCAAGGCCTTTCTACACGATGTGTTCGAAACCATTGACTCACCGCTTTCCTGCTTGGAGCATGACTTTGCCATATTGAGCTTCGATGGGGAAAAGCCATGTGCGGATCGCCAGTATCAATTGGACAATTCCTTCCGCTGTCAGAACCGTGTCTGCGCCGGTATCCATGCCCATATCGAACGCTTCGCCTCTGACGTTTTCTGCAATATTGCTGACAGCTGTGGGCAACCCCTATCGTTGTGGTTCGCCTGTGTCGGGGCCTGTGGCGGCTAGACCGGCGCTCATGCGTATTTATGTGCGGAATTCCCATCCGTGGATTGTGCTTACCGTGCCGCCGTAGATGTAGGTGCCACTTTTCGTTTCCGATCGTGTCAGCGCGTCAGCATTCGGACGATAACGAAGAGAAGACAATGCCATGTCGGCGGACACAAACCCCTCGTAAGGGTGACAATTCAGTGAGGTGTGGCGGTGGTGGCGCTGTCTCAGAACAAAGACGAGCCCTGCGCACACCGGTACGATGACGAAGATTGTGTAGCAGCTCCAATGTCACTGTGGATGATGATGTTCATTCAGTCTATGACAAAACGGCCCCCTAGGAACCAAACGGCGACGAGTGGCTCAGGTCACATGTCCTGCACGCAGACTATATCACAGCAGCATCGGCGGCGTCATCGACTACGATTGCGACGACGGCTGCGACTACGACTACGAGGAAAGCGTGCACCGTTGCCCGCCCTCGGACTCGCCGACGACGACGACTCGCCCACGACGACGTCGACGTGTCCGACGACGCCCGAGACGACAGCGGCAACAGCGGCATCGACGGCGGCGACGAGGGACGGCCACGCCACCCGCGACGGCGAATCTGCTGCGCCGGCGGCGGTCCGCCAGGGCTTTCTGGTCGGCCGCGATCTGGCCCTGCAGGCCCTGCAACAGCTGGCCGTGGACGTGCGCGTTCGAGGCCTCCGCTTGACGGGGGCGCCCAGTGAAGGGGGCGCCCAATAGGCAAGGTCGGTTTGCATCGAATCGGGAAATCGGCTCGGATCGAAGGCTCAGCACGCCCAAAAAAGGGGCACGGAAAGCATGGGCACGATGCTGGGCAGCAAATGCTCACCCAAATGACCAGCGGCCGCTGCTGGGTACGTGACCTGTTGTCTCATGTAGACAACGTCCGCTGCGACGCCGGCAACGAGCGATGTCCAACATGGAAAGGAACTGTTGTGGACCAAAAGCGAGACGACACCACCGCACCTACGGCACGACGGCGTTGGAATTTCAAGCACTTGCCCCGCGTACGGCAGGTTCGTGTCGTGCCGACCCCAGCGTTGGTTTTTGACACCGCAGGGATCGTTCAACCTTGAACGATCGGCCGCTGCCGCAAGGTCCGATCGTTCAACATCGATCGATTCTGGGCCGCCGCCGGCGTTCAACCTTGAACGCCCGCGCTGGGGTCGCCGCTGGTCGACACGACGCAAACCTACCCTACGGCACGACGGCGTTGGAGTTTCAGGCACCCCGCCCCCCGGCGCAGCTGAAGCCCGGCACGTCTTCACCGAAAAAAGACCGCAGAGCGTCGGGCCCCACGGGCCCCGTCACGCCTCCTCTCCATACCACCCGTTGCTGGGTGTGGTGCTGTTTGGGTTCTCCGTGCCGCACAGCTCCTCGGCGATCGGCGCCCCCCCCCTTGCGGCCCCGGGAGAAAAAGAAAGAAGCCCCCTCCTCCTCCTCCTCTCCTCCTCACCTCATCCTCCTCCTCATCCTCCTCCTCTCCTCCTCCCTCCTCCTCCTCCCCCCTCACCCTCACCCCCCCCTCCACTCCTCTCCTCCTCCTCCTCCTCCTCCTCCTCCTCCTTGCTTCTCGCCCGCGGGGGCGCGGGGCTCTCGCGGGGCCTCTCGGGGCGCACCCGTGGCGGCTGGATCCGCCTTGGAGTATTGGCCAGAGCGCACCCCAGGACAGATCTGGCCTCCGTGGATTTCTGGCCCCCCGACCCAGAGCTCCAGAGGCTCAAAAAAAACGAGCCCGGAGGTCTTACTTATTCTTTGCGTCGGGGTGGCGAGCGGCGAACATCCGTGTCCGCGCCCTCGCAGTCTGGACTCCGGGGCGCGGTCTGCGGATGCGCGGCCGCAAGAATACGTTCCGCGCGGGACACCCGCAACAGAAGCGCCCCGCATCCGCGGGGTCGCGGCCCCCAGGGACAGGCCTGCGAGGCCGCGGATACGGGTACAGTCGACGCGATAAGCGATAAGGACGCAAGGGCCTTGGAAGGCCATTCCGAAGCTTTTCGAGCGGGGCGCGGCCGGCGAAAGTGGCCAAGGATGGACCGAGGAGGCACGGATGCAGGGGTACCCTTAAGAAAATTGCACATCCTTACTATCGGGGGCGCGCAAACATGGATTAGCGATCCATGGATTTCGCGGCGCGGTCGCCAAATCCATGGATCGGGGAAAAAACCCTCCCCAAAATGCAGCCGGTGCCGCCTCGCTCGGCGGCGGAAATCCGCGACTTCCAATGGAAACGGGCCGCGTCGCTAATCCACGCCCCCTTGATCCATGTTTGCGATCGAATGACTTTCGGATGTGCCGCGAGAGCCTCCACGACCGCCACGACGACACGACGACGGCGCCGACAACGACGACCTCCCGATGTCTTGACTGTTGGAGCAGGGACCGACCGTCCCGGCATTCCTATAGGCTTACCACGAAATTATCGTAGAACCAAAACATGTTCTAAAAGCAATCGTCTTAGAACATAAACCCGATGTTTTAAACCGAATCGGTGACAGCCAGAAATGTTCGGTAACACTTCGTGCAGACCACAAGAGGTTTTTAGAACACACTCTGGTGGCCTATAGGCGAGCCAGGACGCTTCGCCGCTGTTGCGAATTTCTCCCGCGACGGTGAGGGGCAACGATACGGAAGATAGGCATAGAGGGGGATGCATCGACCTGGAATCTGCGAAACGTCGCCGATAGATCGGCGATGGGCCACCAATAGCAAAGCCGCACCTTCCTGGGCAGGGTTGGGCTATCAGACCCCTATCGGCGATCAATGGGCGACTGGGGGTCGATGCATCCACCCATCGGGCATGTCCCCCTACCCTGCAGGCGGATTTTGGACGAAACTTTGAAAATATACCGGAAATGCTCCAAATATACTCAAAAATGATCATGCCAAAAAGTCCCCTGACCATTTCTTGACTACTTTTGAAAATTCCTCCTGTAGAGGGACACGCCCGAGTCAAGCCCATCCTCCCCTATCGCGTTGCCCCCGCGACGGGCAGAGCGCTCTCGGTCTTCGGCGGCGGCACGCGTCGGCGCCGCGCACCGGGGAGGTCGGCGCGGGGGCCCGCTCCTCCTCCTCCTCCTCCTCCTCCTCCTGCTCCTCCTCCTCGCTCCTCCTGCTCCTGCTCCTCCTCCTCCTGCTCCTCCTGCTCCTGCTCCTCCTGCTCCTCCTGCTCCTCCTCCTCCTCCTCCTCCTCCTCCTCCTCCTCCTCCCTCCCCCGAAAGAAAAATATATACACCTGTTCTCCTCCTCCCACGCCTCCTCCTCCCTCCTCCTCCTGCTCCTCCTCCTCCTCCTCCTCCTCCTCCCCCTCCTGCTGCTCCTGCTCCTGCTCCTGCTCCTGCTCCTGCTCCTCCTCCTCCTCCTCCTCCTCCTCCTCCTCCTCCTCCTCCTCCTCGGGCGCTCTCGAGGCCGTCGGCGGCCGCGCGCGTCGGCGGCGCGCCCCCCGGGGGCGCTCGGCGCGGGGGCGGGGCGGCCCAGCCAGGAGACCGAGGGGGGGGGGGCCTGGGCGGCGCTCCCCGGGGGCCCTCCCGGCCTGCGGGGAGCCTCCTCCTCCTCCTCCTCCTCCTCCTCGTCCTCCTCCTCCTCCTCCTCCTCCTCCTCCTCTATCGAGTCCCCTGTCCTCCTTCTCGCCCGCCATGGAGACCGAGGGGGGGGGGCGGCGCTCCCCGGGGGCCCTCCCGGCTTCTGCGGGGAGCCTCCTCGGGAGCCTCCGGCCGCGTGGAGCGCGTGCCGATCTTAGGGGGGAAACACCAAACCTGCCTCGCTTTGGCCACCCTCGCTGCCAAGAGATGCCAAACGATGCCACATTGCAGCCTGTCCTGGTCGGGCCGCTCGACGAGGAGGCGCGTGGTGTGGCTCGGTTTTGCCTGGAAGCGAAAGCGGGGTAGGTAATTCACGCTCTGATATCTCTTCGGCGAGAAGGGGCATGAATAGGGGGGGGGAGAGGGGGCCAGGGGGCGGGGTATCCTGCCACGCCTCCCCCCCAGCCGCGTGCCCGATGCGGACGGCGGCAGTGCCCAGAGCGCACAGGGGGGGAGAGGGGCGTTACGTTATAGTTAGATGCTCATTCTGGGGACCTTCCTGGAGCCACTCGCTCCACTCGTGCGTCGAAGCTGCGTCGAACCCGAGTCGAACCTGAGTCGAACATGAGTCGAACCTGAGTCGAATCTGAGTCGAACCTGAGCCGAACCTGAGTCGAACCTGAGTCGAACCTGAGTCGAACTTGAGTCGAACCTGAGTCGAACAGATCCATTAGGTGGGCCCCAGGAAGGTCCCCAAAACGAGCATCGAATTATAGGGTGGGGGTGGGGGGTGGGGGCGGAGGGGGCTATGATGCCCAGCATGCCCCAGGCAACGAAGAAGCACGGCCTTGGCGGCGCGTGCTGCAGTCCACCCGTGTCGGCAGGGGTGCGTGGTCGGGATGCCAGGGCCCCGGGAGGCCCGTGCGCACGTCTCTCGGGGGAGGCCGGCCAGCGAAAGTCGCTCAGGACGGGGCGAAGGGCAGGGATACAAGGGTACTCCAGATTTCGTAATAAAAGGAAGGGGGGTCTCATTTCGGGGGGGGTCTCTTCCAGGCTATCTTGGAGGGCCTGGGGGGGTCTGGGGACGGTGTTCTAGAGGGTTCTCCCACGGGGGGGGGGTCTGAAATGGCTTGTCTGGGAGGGTCCAGACCCCCTCCCTTTTATTACGAAATCTGGAGTACCCTTGGGATGGCTGCCCATCCCTACCACGCGGGTTGACTGTAACGGACCACTGGCCCCCGCAGACAAGACGGACCACGCTGGGCAAGACTTGAAAACTCTCTGCTGCTAGACGGATCCCTGCAAGCAACCTCTGCATCTCAGAGCGGGGGGGGGCTCCTTGACAAAAAAGTGCTCCGATCTGTGATCGCCGCGATCGCCGCGATCGCCGGGGCAACGTCCAAGACCGACCCAGACGTTGTTGGTTCGGTGTTCGGGGAAAGGTCTCACGCAACGATCCCGTCTGCTGGGAGCGGAAGATCGGTCAGCATCGAGTCGGAAGGGATCGGTACGCGTGGCGGATCGGGCTGCATTGGCGCGGAGTCTGCACTCGAATCGGATCGGCTTCGCGCAAGGATGCGCTTCAGCGCTCCGCAACCATCGGGACGCGTCGGGTCGTCGGAATATCGGAATCGACTGGTGTCGGGTCAGCTGGATTCGACATCGAATCGGATCGATTGGGTCGCAGTGGAGCCTGGAATGCCTCTGCTTTCTGAGGAGCTCCCCGCCTTGGTAGAAGGGCGCCCCTGCGCGCGCTGCCACTCCCCGGGCGGGGCTCTCCGGGGAGAGCAGGCCATAAGGAAGACGGAGACGGGATGAAGACCACATCGGCCCGAGATAAATCTGAATCTGAAATCCGCCGATTCTGTCGGCGTGTGTGAGGCGTTTTTCCGTTTGAGTCGTCGTCGTCGCCGATACCGCTCGAGCGCGTCAGCGTCGTCGTCGCCGCCGCCGTCGTATCGTCGTCGTCGGTTGGCGGCACCAGCCGTAAGGCCTTCCAACCTCTGGCGGGTTTAGAGGATGTATCGGGCGCCGCTGCCGTTCCAGAGCGATCCCAAGCGCTCAGTGAGCGTCCATGGAAAAAAGGTCTTGAGCGTTTTAGGTTTGTCCCCTGAACATCCTGGAAAAACATAATGTTCGTCCTAGGCCTGCCTGAAG